TTTTACGTGGGCATTAGCCCACTCGGGCACAGGTAATGACCCACATCAGGGCCTGGGGAGCGAAAATATAATAATAAATAATAATTTATAAATAATAAACTATTATTATTATTATTATTACAACAATTAATAAAATTAATAGCAAATTAATGGAAATAAAATAATAACAATAATTAAAATAACCATAAATAAATACAAAATTGAAAAAATAAATCAAGAGTGAGAAATTATATACATCAAGGGTTGGGGAACTGTTTTGGGTATTAACCAAAAATTTTTTTGAGTAAAATGAAATTACCCCCAGACTTCAAAGTACACTAGTACAGTAAACAGAAACAAGCCAATTTGCTCCTAAAATTGTTGGATATGGTATGGAACAGTGTCTCATACCGCATGCATTACCCCAAAAAATTTTAGGTTTACCCCATTTGGGGTAATTTACCCCTGTTCCCCAACCTCTGGTATACATTATATATATTGTGTTGTCCAAGTAAGAGAAACATTTGAGACCCTGCAATTGTGTGTAAATGAAGCAGAAAGTCAGATCAGCAACCTGGGATTTGGTCACAATTTTTGTGATGCCATATGGCAGCAGGGTCTACTATTAGACAACACCTTATGCTTCCAATATCTTCCCAGGCGGTAGTACCTTCCTGTTTGGTAGCTGCCTATCTACCTATACGTACGTGTGTGTATGTATGTATGTATGTATGTATGTATGTATGTATGTATGTAGTTCTCATACTTCTTGCCCGGAAGTGTAAAGAAGTTCAGTGCCAAATGAAATCTTCCCATAAGGATGTAAACTCATATGGTAACTGGAAACTCATCTGGTACTCCACTTGTTTTTCTGTTCCTTTACTGGGATAGTGAGGTCAATGTAAGCACACTATCCTTTTGGCCGAGGCTTGCCATCATGTCTTCATCGCTATATAGACTGTGCCGTACTCAGTAGGAGAACCTTCAATCATTGGACAATACCCTATGTTAGTGCTAAAAGGTCTTACAGGAAACATCAAATCATGAAATCCATTCCAACCAGGTACTGTACTTTCTGTTTTTTGCATAAAAATAATAATAATTGGTCTTTTGTTTCTCAAAAGTGCCTGTTCTTCTAAACAATTTACTAGCACTCAGAACATTACAAAGTCGAGGAACCTGCGAATAAAATAGAGTAGACCCATGCCATTCGAGAAGGATAGGTTCCAAGAAATGGCGCAAATTGGCAAAACCGCGAATAGCCACTTATATGAGCTTGATGAAGTGGTGCACTGTACATAGGGAGACATCTGGTTACTGAAGCATAGGTAGATCATCAGGATCAGTGATGGCTGGTGAAGTGGCGTGCAGCCTGGAGGCAGGTAGTGAGTTGGCTTGGAGGAGGAGGAGGAGGGTGGAGTGGCAGTGATGGTAGCTGGTTCTTTCTTGAAAAACATGGAGATTGGTAGTTGTTTCCTCATGGCCTTGGGGTCTTTAAACATTTCCCGGTAGGGAAACAATACCTGGTTGATTCCTTGGACCATCTTAAGACTCCGTTCCATGAAGGGGTCATGATCAACAATAAAATCATTCGCCATCTTTACCTGACGAAATAGTTTACCCAAACTTTCCAAGCTCCAACCTTCTTGTTGTAATTCCATAATGTCTTCCTCTTCATCTTCCTTCATCAAGCAGCTGTTCCACATCTTCAGCAGCCATATCCACAAACCCCTCACCACCCAGCTGACATGCAACACTCACAATGTGATTCGCATCTTACTATGGACAGAAATCCCTGAAAGTTATTCACACACTCAGGCCATAAGGTGCACCAACAACCATTCATTCCATAAGGTGCACTAACAAACATTCATTCTCTGGTTTGAGTTCATTGAATGCTTCTCTGATGTTGGTAATGCAGTCCACAATGTTGTACTCCTTCCAACACTTGCTTACATCAAGGTCAGGGTCTTCATCCATGGCACTACGAATATGACCAAAAGAGTGGCGTGTATAATATTCCTTGATGGTGTGTATTACACCCTGATCGAGAGATTGGATAAGAGCAGTGGTGTTAGGGCAGTGGTTCCCAAACGCTGGGTCGCTACCCCAAATGGGGTCGCAAGATGCATCATTAGGGGTCGCATAGAGGTCATGTGGTCCCATAAAGCTCATAGTCCAAGTATCAAGGACTGAAGGACATGGCTGACAGGTGCTGTCTCGTTAAGTCGGGACCATCAATTGTGGTCAAGGGAATAATGCAGTTACTCTCCTCGTGTTAAGTCAGGTCAGTCCAGGAAAGGCGAATGTTGATGACATGTTATGCAGCAGAAATTTTACACTACTACCTTTGAATTGTTTTCAGGTCAATGCACTCTGTACTATCCATGGATGCAGACAAAAAATGGCAGCAAATTTCATTGGTAGATTCCTTGAGCTGCTTACTGAATCATTGGATTTTGTTCAGTTTCTGTTCAAGACAGATGTGAAACAGTGTGGCTCTTTTGTCCTCTAAATAGCAGAATTACAGGCTTAGCCCTCACGCTAGCTACCTGGCCTAGCGGGGAAATTTCCAACTTTTCATTACCTGATGAAACTTGGTTGTCCAGTGAGTTGTATGTTCTGTTATGGTTATTTTTCAACTCATAATTTGGGGTGGATATACTGTACATAATTTTCTTAATTTATGAAATTTTTGTTTTTACTAATTTACATGCACACACCCATTCTGCATACAGAATGTGCCCCCCAAAAATATATTCGTAGTTAAAAACATAGAGAATTAACATTTCTTAGTGTGCAAGAGTTACCATGCTGAGCGATGGGGGGGCCAGTGGAGTGTGAGATCTCAGTTGCTCTGAGTTGTCTCCCGTTTGTATAGTGAAAGATGATAACTATATATCTTGGCGTCCAGCAGTGAGAGGGTTGATAGGAAAATGGTAGTGATGTAGATTTCAGTGAAATGAAAAAAAATCTAATTACAGTTGTTTTGTGAAAGTCATTTCTGCTACAGCGTTTGTTTTGTCAACGCGAATTGGTTGAAACGAGGTCGATGAATAGGGGACCGCTGTTTGTAAAATGTGAACTTCTGCATACGAATGTTGGCTATAACACGATTCCATCCTCAACGTTTTAAGCGTGGCGCAAGGCTATGCAATGTTTACATTTCATGTTCGACATCACATGTTCAATTGATTCATGTGTTTTGTTTGTGAAGTGTTTTTTGAGAGGTAGCTGTTACCCATAAATACTGTATGGAAAGAATAAGTACAGGCATCCCCCACGTTACGGAACCCTGGGTTGCGGAATTTTGCTCTTACTGAATTTGTAAATTATGACCAATAATTTCGCAATACGGCCCGTAAATTCGCCCTTACGGAAATTGGGTAAATTTTAACAATTTAAAAAAAAATCGCTATATAAAATTAACAAATGTTTTTTTAAATTATAATTTGTTTGGTGTGGATTTCTTGGTGTTTGCTACCGCCAAGCGTGGCGTCGCCACGAGGAGTCGGTCCATTGTTTACAGCCAGTGTGCGCGCATGTTTCTCGCCCCAGCAGTTTGATTTAACTTTCACAAACATACAGTAAGTACAGTATAGTGCATTACCCTTATTCAAGATGACTGGAAAGAGGCCAACAAGTGGAAGTGACCGCAGTAGTGCATAAAGAAGCCACAAAGGCATTACATTGGATGTTAAACATGATGTTTTTAGAAGGTATATCAAATTATTTAATGTACTGTATTGTATGTGTTTATAAATTTTTATTTTCATTCATAAAAGTGCTTGAATTACTTTTTTGGGGCCGAGAAATATTCCTTAGGAACCCATCTCCAGTTTTATAATGGAAGTCAATGGGAAAATAGGTTTCGCGTTAAAGAATTTCGCGATACGGTCAATTTTCCAGGGATGCAACCCTTCTGTAACGCGGGGGATGCCTGTAAAAAGAATGTTTTGCAGTGCCGACCAATAACGGTTTATACCAGCGCTGTCTGCTTACATTAGTTGAATCGCGCGGTTTCTGTAGATTGCTCTGTGAAGTGTCCGTGATTTTTACTGTTTTCTCCAATTTTGTTATGTTATCCATGAATATGGAAAGACAAGGTAGGGAGAATGTTTCCAAGAAGCATTCTGGTGAATGAATTGCTGGTGGTGAACGTAAAAAAGGCTATAACACTATTGCTGGAACAAGCTTGAGTGCTAGTAAATCTGAGATCATGGCCAAAGTAATAGGCACCTTACCCTATTTTCTTCATAAGCCCTGTTGTTTTTATTGCACGAATTTCTACAGTGAGAGGTTTCACAAGAACGCAACTATCGCGTTGTAGCAGAAATGACTATACTAGAACTCGCTTTTTTTTTTTTTTACCTTTAGGCCCCGGGTGACGTTCCAGAACGTCCGTCTATTCCTACCATTTTTAATTATTTTTGGAAAGGTTGATTTTTTGTCGATTTAGCCCCGCCATGGGGGGGGGGCTCTACTGCCAGCAGCACCCTAACCCGGGGCTTAAGGATTAATGTTATAAAAATAATAAAAAAATTATTTTAACCACATTTAACAAAATCCAACTAGTATGTAGCAAATAAACTTCTAAAAACAGTAGAAAATCAATTAATTTGGATAATACAGGAAAAGTTCACTTGTCTCACCATATACAGCCCTTGATATATCTTCTGTATAATGAAAAAAAGCAAAAAAAAAAAGAATGATTGTATTAAAGATAAAATGGAAATGAAAAAAGAAAGTGAGAAAACCAAGAGAACAACTATAAATATTAGTTAAGAATGAAAGAGGGGATCAATTTTAGAAAGAGTCAGTGGAAGAGAGATAGGGAGAACACTATGAAAAGCTGCAGATAGCAACAGATGAAATCATTGTGTTTGACATATAGAGGATTGAAAAGTGTGGAAGTGGTGTTACACTCGCCATACATTTTTTGGATGCCTCCACAGATGAACTAGATAGATGTCTCATTAATTAATTATTAGGTATTAGAATAATGTATTAATCCTATCCAGGTCTTGGTTGATGATTCAGCAAGACTTCAAGCTGCCTACCCAGGCAGTAATGCTGAACACATAGCAGAACAACAAACCCTTGTAATTGACAATTGGAACATGCTTCAAGAAAGGGCCTCGAGAAGAAAAGATGAACTTCATGCAGCAGCAGATCTTCAGAGATTCTTGGCAGATGTAAGTCAGTGACAATATTTATTAGTACCAAAAGTAAAAGGATTAGAAATTAGCATTTTGTGTTATTTATACTTGTAATCCTATTTCATTGTCATGAATTAATAGTAATACAGTAGGGTCGGGATATATCGCGAGATAGGGTCCAAGGATGTTCGCTATATACTAAATAGTGATATATAATTACATGTAATCAGTGGGGAAAAAAGGGTTAGGTTCTGTAGGCTAATAAAAGTGACTAAACTTGACATGGAATGGCACAGTCTAAAGTTAGCAGAATATAAATTGCATTGCTGGAATTCTTGCAAGACTGCAAATAATTTGAATATAGACATCATTTATTTTGCTCAAGATATAAAATCATAGTCCTTTGTACTAAAATGTACTAATTATTACTAAATTTTTTATGTCTATTGCGATCTATAGCATGTTTGTATTCAAATTAATCACTATCTTACAAGAATTCCAGCAACGTTATTTATATTCTCAAGTCAATTCATTGACATTTTATAAGAGAAAAACGTAAACTCTCCCGACCCTACTGTATTGGAAACACCCTATTTGATTTTTTATTTGAAAATAAATGGAGTTACGGTATTTCTTATAGTCATTACAGTTAGATTTTCCAAATTTGGGTTTTTACTTGTAAGGTCTAGATTTTTTTTCCATGAATCCATAAATAGAGTGGAATACAGCTCTTCCATTCTTTTTGTCTCTCTTTACCTCCTCCCTACATAATTCTCCTGATCCAATTTCTTTCATCCTCTAACCTTTTTGGTTCCCTCCATTTTCCTTTCCATCTATTTTCCTTCCATCCTCCTCTTCCTCCCCATCAACTCCTTTGTCCTCCTTGTCCTCACTCTGCTTCATCCACCATTCCCTCCCTTCTACCTGTCTATCCATCCATCCATCTCTCTCTCTCTCTTTTTTTCTTTTCATTTCTGGTCTTCATCCTTCCTCCCTATCCAGCCTTCCCTTTCTCTTCCCCATCCACCATCCCTCTCCCTCCTTCCCCATCCACCATCCCTCTCCCTCCTTCCCCATCCACCATCCCTCTCCCTCCTTCCCCATCCACCATCCCTCTCCCTCCTTCCCCATCCACCATCTCTCTCCTCCTTCCCCATCCACCATCTCTCTCCCTCCTTCCCATCCACCATTCCACCTTCACCATCCTCTCCCTTTCCCCATCCACCATCTCTCTCCTCCTTCCCCATCCACCATCCCTCTCCCTCCTTCCCCATCCCATCCCTCTCCTCCTTCCCCATCTCCTCTCCCTCCTTCCCCATCCGCCATCCCTCTCCCTCCTTCCCATCCATCCCTCTCCCTCCTTCCCCATCCGCCATCCCTCCCTCCTTCCCCATCCGCCATCCCTCTCCCTCCTTCCCCATCCGCCATCCTCTCCCTCCTTCCCCATCCATCCCTCTCCCTCCTTCCCCATCCGCCATCCCTCTCCCTCCTTCCCCATCCGCCATCCCTCTCCCTCCTTCCCCATCCTCCCTCTCCTTCCCCATCCCCATCCCTCTCCCTCCTTCCCCATCCGCCATCCCTCCCCTCCTTCCCCATCCTCCATCCCCATCCCTCCCCTCCTTCCCCATCCGCCATCCTCCCCCTCCTTCCCCATCCGCCATCCCTCCCCTCCTTCCCCATCCGCCATCCCTCCCCTCCTTCCCCATCCGCCATCCTCCCCTCCTTCCCCCATCCGCCATCCCTCCCCTCCTTCCCCATCCGCCATCCCTCCCCTCCTTCCCCATCCCCTCCCCCTCCTTCCCCATCCGCCATCCCTCCCCTCCTTCCCCATCCGCCATCCCCCCTCCCCTCCTCCCTCCCCTCCTTCCCCATCCGCCATCCCTCCCCTCCTTCCCCATCCGCCATCCCTCCCCCTCCTTCCCCATCCGCCATCCTCCCCCTCCTTCCCCATCCGCCATCCCTCCCCCCTCCCCCCCTCCTCCCCCATCCGCCATCCCTCCCCTCCTTCCCCATCCGCCATCCCTCCCCTCCTTCCCCATCCACCATCCCTCCTTCCCCATCCACCATCCCTCCTTCCCCATCCACCATCCCTCCTTCCCCATCCACCATCCCTCCTTCCCCATCCACCATCCCTCCTTCCCCATCCACCATCCCTCCTTCGCCATTCCTCTCCCTCCTTTCCTCTCTCCTTCCCCAACCCCCCCATCTACCATTTTATTCTCTTCCTGTCCACCCCTTCCTCCATTCAGAATTCTCCTTGCTCCATCCTCCCAGTAGTCTTCTCCATTTTCCTAACACTTATCTTTTCCTCATCCTCCATTATTATTTTACTCTCTTCCTCTCTTTCCTTCTCCTTCAGCAGGCCAAAGTTCTCCTCTTCTCCGTCCATCATCTCCACTTTCTGTTTTAACCTGTGTGTCATGTCTTCTGATATTGTGGCAACACAAGTAAATTAAGCTGAAGAATGTAGTGATGCATGTAAGCCTTTCCTTCAGTCTCGTGACTTGATCAGTTGGTCAAGTGATTTGAGAACAACCATGAAGACTGAGGAGAAAGTTCGAGATGCTGCTAGTGCCCAGGGTCTGAAGACAGAGCATGAACGTATTAAGGCTGAAATTGAAGCTCGTGAGGACGAGTTCAGTAAGGTGGTCGAGGCTGGTGGCAATATGGTAGAAGAACAGCACTATGCGAGTGGTGAAGTAGAGGAGAGAGTCAATAAGGTAAAGAAGCATAGTTCTTAAGAAGCAAAGGGGTGTCCCTATATTCCTTGATATACTGTATGTTTTATAAGAGATTGAAAAATGTTGCTCCAATTATTTCTGGTTTTGAAAAAGTTAACAGGTCCTCATTACACGACACTAACTTCTTAAGAAAATTACAGGTTCTTGAAGAACGAAACCAACTACATGCAGCCTGGCAACAAAAGAAGGTCTATCTTGATCAGTTGATTGACCTGCAGTTCTTCCTAAGAGATGCCAAACAGCTGGACACCATCAGCAGTACTCAGGAGGCCACTCTTTCATCTGCTGATTTTGGAACAACCATTGAACAAGTTGATGCTCAGGTAAGTCTGAACATTGTTGACTTATTTTTTAAACAGGTGTATTTCATTACATTGGTAGTCGGCAATAATTATTCTAAATATGGGGCAGGACGCGAGATTAATGAGGATAATACATTTTGATAGGTCCATTTTACTAGTTTTGCTGTAAATAGTGATAGGTCCATTTTACTAGTTTTGCTGTAAATAGTGATGTGCAGCTCTTGGGGAATGAAAGCTGTACAGTTCTGTGTGTGATGGGCTAGAAGATTTGGAGAGATGTGGCACCTCTGTGTTTGTCGAAACCAAGTGTCTTCCTGGAGTCATCACTCGGGGACAATAAGAAAATCTTGTATGTGCTATAAGATTATCCTATACATGTGTTGACCATTATACAGTGGGGTTAGGGACTTCGAAAAGCAATCATAAGGTGATCAATTGTATGTCGATACACTAATAATTTAACCCCTACCTGGTTTGGAGCATAGATTAATGTCCACTAAGATACGGGACACCCAGGTTTAGGGCGTATATCAACATCCTTGAAAATTTTAAAATTCCTGCTAATCTCTCTGGGCTCTAGCAAAAAATAAACATCTTGAGTTGTCTGCCCCTGCAGGCAATCACATGACTAGGCCTCCTGTTTCTTGGCAATACGCCAATACCTTCGCCTGTCCCACTCTGTAAGGATGTCATGTCGTGCTGAAATAAACTTTTCTTTGATGAGGATGCTCCTTGTGATGCTCAGGATTTGAGTGATTCTGATGTCAATAACCCTGATTATACCTACGTGATGACAAGGATGGTGAGAGCGATGACCCTGACACCATACTCCCGACTCCACCACCAATTGCATCACTCCATCACCCACAATATCGACCCCAAGACCAGGATGGGGCTCTACAAGCCACACTGTCCCAGACTACACCTCCAACATGCATCTGGTTGACAGTAGAAGTCCAAAAATCCGGACTGCTTGGGGATTGGGTCGGTCCGGATTTTCAGATTTTCCGGATTCTCAGGCAGTACTTTTAAAATTAAAATTTAAGGAGGAATAAAGAAGAGATGAACAGGTACATTTTGATAGTTTATTCATTAGCAAATAAAGCATGCTTCATTTATCAAAACGAGCAGTTTTAAAGAAAAATAAAGTCAACACAAGACAAAAATGTAAACAAATTGTCTAATACCATGACGAGTCTTGAAATTCCTAAGCCATCCATCACTAAATGCGCACTCTGATTCAATGTTCATTTGCTCCTTAAAAGACTTTGCTTTGGCAATAAGCATCGGCCCAGAAATTGCCATACCTTTTGATCGTTTTAACAAAAACCATTCGTGCAACACTTGATCAAGATTTTATAATTTGGGCCAATGTAAACTTTTTCTTTCAGCAATTTTAATGTAAGGCTCAGAAGAAGCTGTGAATTCTAGAATTTTATTCTTTGCCTTTTTTATATCATAAATTGTAGACTTTCAAATGTTGTATGTTTCCATTAGAACAGCATTGCTCACATTACATTCTAGTTTCTTAATTATTTCAAGTTTGTCACTAAATTTCAATGTGTTCTTCTTTCTCTTCACACAACGAAGTTTATCTACTTTAGGGGCCATTATTATGGGCTTGTGCTCTGTACATGGAAAGAGTAGGACTCAAAATTACATACGTTGTCACAGTTTGATTGCTTGTTTTAAAGTGGCGATCGTGTGGTCGTTTGTTGTCCCTGTGCAGCTGTGGCATTCACGCATGCACACATACACACAAAAGATTTATAGTGCCTCAAATTTTACATTTCAGTTCAAGCTAATTACAAAACTAACAAAATTAGCTACCTATAATTTACAATTACTTTTATTATTAGAATTATGTAAATTAATTTTTTAAAGCAACTCCATTCATTCACATAACCCACAAAAGCCCGCTAAATTTAAAAAGTTTGAGTTTTCGAAAAGTCCGGATTCTCGGGTGGTCCGGATTCCTGGCATCCGGATTTTTGGACTTTTACTGTAGCATGATCTCCAGTATAGATTGTGCACGTAAGACTGTGAAATGGTACAAAAAACTATTCTTCCATCTTTTGGACCTGTCCCTTCTGAATGCACACATTCTTTATCTAGTGAAGACAGGTAAAAGGCCTACACTCCATGAGTTTTCATTGAATGTGGTAAGGCTGCTTTTGGAGACTAATCAGTACCTCGCCAGAGACCTGGAGGTCATCGCACAGCTGGTGGTGAACTTCCTTTGCGACTGACTGCTCGACACTTCCCTTCAGTGATTCCTTCCACTGGGGCAAAGCAGTATTCCCAGAAAAATTGTCACGTGTGCCATATGAGTGAAATCTGCGCCAAAGTACACAAAGATACTTGTTATCAGTGTGACATTGCTCTGTGCCTGATTCCATGCTTCCAACATAAGATTCTTAACTTCGGTTAACGAGCAATCCCTCGATTAACGAGCTTTTTACGAGCCGACCTCAACATGTTTTTGCTTGCATTTGGCGGCCCACCAGCTGTAGTATTAGTCCACCAGTACAGTAATTGGTTCTAGGGCTTAAATTCCTTACTATTTTAGTAAATATCAAGAAGTTTATACTATTCAATAATTTTAAAAGTTTTATATTAAATTTTTTAGTCATTTTAACAATTATTGAACAAAATTGAAGTATAGGAAGCTAGTTTTTTGCCCGCCATACAGCCTGTCAACACACCATACAGGCGTCAGTCTCTGTCTTTTCAGTGGAGGTAACATCTTGCTTGAGACTCTCTTCAACTAAAAGATTTTGTCTGTTTCCAAGCAAATTATTGGTCAATTTGAAATTTATTTTACATATTGACAATACCGTATATAATGCAGTGCAGTGTTGATTTAAAGAAAATAATCATTAATTACACCAAGAGAACTAAAATTTTATAGGTGAAATGGCACCATTGGGTGACTTCTCTTCCACCCCAATGCCTTCTCTTCTCCCTTCTCCTCCACCCCCATTCTAATTCCCATCATCATCATCATCCAGGAGCCTTCTACATACACATCTCAAAGTAAGTGTACTTTACTACCTTTTTTGTTGATTTTAGGCAATTTTCGGTGAGCTGGAACCAATTACCCAAAAACCCATTGAAACAATGGTTTCGGTTAAAGAGTTTTTCGGTTAACGAGCAACCTTCTAGAACGAATTGTGCTCATTAACCGAGGGACCACTGTAAATAACAATAATTAAAAATTAAAATACAGTACAATAAAATATTAATACTAATAAAAAAAAATATTTAGTTAAAAGCAATAAATACTGTAAATACAAAAATTAAAAAAAAATATCAGGAGTGAGAAATGATATATGTACAGTATGTTGTGTTGTCAAAGTAAGAGAAACCATCGAGACCCTGCAATTGTGTGCAAGTTAAACAGTCAGATCAGCAACCTGGGACTTGGTCACAATTTTTGTGATGCCATATGGCAGCAGGGTCTACCATTAGACAACACATTATGCTTCCAATGTCTTCCCAGGCAGTAGTACCACCCTGTAAGTGATATCTGTAACTCACCACAGCATGTTTGCTGTGGAGCAGAGGCCTCTCTAAGTTGCATTCCATTTAGAATTGCCACATGTAAGTAAATAAAAAAAAATGGATTTAAAATCCTGGGGCTGGTTCCCATAGAAACAGAGATGATACACAACTATTCTTATGATTCAGTCAGCATGAGACTTGAGTTGCCATATTCTATACATTTCACATTATTTTAGACATCGTTATTTAGCTTTTTCAGCAAAAACAGAAATTAACTTTTTGGTAACTAGATTTATTACAGTGGTCCCTCGGTTAACGAACACAATCCGTTCCAGCAGGTTGTTCGTTAACCGAAACCATTGTTTCAATGGGTTTTTGGGTAATTGGTTCCAGCTCACCGAAAATTGCCTAAATTCAACAAAAATGGTAGAAAAGTTCACTTACTTTGAGGTGTGTATGTAGAAGGCTCCTGGATGATGATGATGATGATGGTGGGAATAAAAATGGGGTTGGAGGAGAAGGAAGAAGAGAAGGCATTGGGGTGGAAGAGAAGTCACCCCATGGCACCATTTCACCCATAAAATTTTAGTTCTCTTGGTGTATTTCAAGATTATTTTCTTTAAATCAACACTGCGCTGCATTATATATTGTCAATATGTAAAATATATTTCAAAATAACCAATAATTTGCTTGGAAACACAGAAAAAAAGTGTTTCGTTGAAGAGAGTCTCAAGCAAGATGTTACCTCCAGTGAAAACAGAGAGACTAACGCCTGTTTGCTGTGTTAAGAGGCTGGATGCCGCGCATTAAACTAGTCACTTTACCTTCAATTATGTTCAATAATTGTTAAAATGACTAAAAAATTGAATATTAAACTTTTAAAATTATTGAATAGTATAAACTTCTTGATATTTACTAAAATTGTAAGGAATTTAAGCCCTAGAACTGATTAATGTATTGGCGGACTAATACTAAAGCTGGTTGACCGGCCAGTGCAAGCGAAAACATGTTGAGGTCGGTTCGTAAGAAATTAGTTAACCGAATTTTTGTTCGTAACCGAATTTAAGGATCTTATGGGAGGCAGTTCGTTAACCGAGGCGTTTGTTAACTGAGGGACCACTGTATATGGAAACCACATAAGGGTTAATAATTTTGGGGGAAAACAGGTTCCATTTCCGAGACCTTGAAGAGCCAGAGTTAGCGCTAAGAGAAATTATTTTTTTTACTTGTAATATCAGGTATACTGTACATACATTATTTTCTTGATTTTCTTTTCCTCTGTTATATGTACACACAATCTTTTGTACAGAATGTGCAAAAGAAATATTATAAGATAAAAAACATAAAAGGAATGAAAATTTCTTACACGAGCAAGACTTACCACACAGTGGGGGTCGACATGCACAATCTTTCATACAATGTGCAAAAAAAATATAAATATACAAGGTCAGAAGCATGAAGGGAATAAACATTTCTTACATGTGCAGGATCATGCACAGTATGGTAATGGGGTGGGGGGGGCAAGTAGGGGTGCTCAGCTGTTCTCTGTGTCGGGTCCTGTGCATAGCGATTTGATTGTCAAATGGCAATGCAGTTTTGTTTTTCTTTTGTTTAGTATTATTTTTATTTATTCCTCACATTTACTGGTACAAAATATTTTATTTTATGTGCAAAGAATAGCTTCTTCCGCACGCAAGCATCTTCTTTCCATGCGCAAACCATCTTCTGGGTGACGTGACACAGTTCAACTGCTCAGCTTGGCCGTCACCAGGGACAGGCAGAACCTCTCACGCATCCCACATGGGTTGCACGTGCTAAATTATTCTGAGATTGAATCAATATATGTCAATACAGTGGTCCCTCGGTTAACGAACACAATTCGTTCCAGAAGGTCGCTCGTTAACCGAAACCATTGTTTCATGGGATTTTGGGTAATTGGTTCCAGTTCACCGAAAATTACATACTTTGAGGTGTGTATGTAGAAGGCTCCTGGTTGATGATGATGGGAATTAGAAGTGGGGGTGGAGGAGAAGGGAGAAGGAAGTGGGGGTGGAAGAGAAATCACCCCATGCTTCATGCCGTCATTTCACCCATAAAATTTTACGTTCACTAGTGTAATTCAAGATTATTTTCTTTAAATAAACACTGCACTATATATTGTCAATGTAAAATAAATTTCAGAATGACCAATAATTGTACTGTAAAAATAGTTTATGTTCAAGAGAGTCTCAGCAAGATGTTACCTCCACTGAGCAGACACACAAACCGACTCCATGCTGGGTGAATCAAGTGGCTGTTTGGTGCACTAAAAACTAGTTTCCTGTACTTCAATTATGTTAAATAATTGTTAAAATGGCTAAAAATTTTAATATAAAACTTGAAAAATTATTGAATAGTACAACCTTCTTGATATTTACTCAAATGGGAACGAATTTAAGCCCTAGAACCGATTACTGTATTGGCAGACTAATATTCCAGCTGGTGAGCAAGCGAAAACATGTTGAGAGGAATTCGTAAGGAATTCGTTAACTGAATTTTTTTCGTTAACCGAATTGAAGATTCTTATGGAAGGTAATTCGTTAACCGAAATTTCGTTAACCGAGGGATCACTGTATTGTGATTTATTACAGATATTACACATCACATTTTTGTAGCTGACAATGCAGGAAAAGCATTTGGGTAGCAACCATCATAAAACTGATTTTACCCATTTCATAATGATAAATATTGTTAATTTTTAACATTGAAAAACTGATTGATCATATATAGACCCATCATACAACAGTCAACACTTGTACACCAGAATCAAATATATAATGTATAGAAATATACAATGCTCAACATACAGTATAAATGCAATCCTGACTTGGGCAGGAGAGTTAGTTGGACACAAGGATGAAATGAGTATGAATCCCAAACACATGGTGTTCAGTCCAAATCTGAACTGATTGGAAATTCTTTGACGATGAGAGTATTAACATTCTAAGATTGAAGATGGTGTATGAACCAGATACCACACAGTAAGGTAGAGTTGGTGTTCTATCCTTCCCCTCCTTGGTCTCTTAAGTCATTTGACACTGACACTGTCCAACAGTGGTTAATGGCATCCTATTTGATACTCTGTATAAAACTAAAATCAGTTTGGAAATGCATGCATTCAGAGATGAATTTATGGTATTTTTTATTTATTTTTATTTATTTTTTCATATATACGGGGTATTTATCACTTTAGCCAGACCACAATTGTGAGGTTACATGAGTTCATTCATGTAATTATCTGGGATGTACACAAACAGTGGTGCCACATCTCTAGCCCCTGCTGCATGCAATGCTGCAAGGGACTGTACAATGATTGGAGAACCAAGGGAAAGAAAAAGTAACACACACATCCTGTACGAGGCCGTAGGATCATTTTAGGTAAATGCAATTGCGTATTTTTTAAGCCAATTGAAGTACTTCTCAAGATGGTCCATAAAGATATTGTGAAGCATAAGGATATGATGTTGAAAGAGAAAAGCACTTGCTGTTGGGACTCATTATAAATACATTGTAGTTGTTTTGATTGCAGTTGAGGTCTTGCACATTTACGAAACCCTTAACGGTAAATTTTTCTTGTATGAAAATTCACGAATTTGCTTTTCACAGGTAAAGAAGCATGATGCATTTGAGAAATTGGTATATGCTCAAGACGAAAAGTTAGAAACATTGAAAAACCACGGATCAAAACTCATTGAACAAAGTCATTTTGACTCTCCACACATTAAGAAGCGTATTGATGAGGTAGTAAGGAGAAGGGCCCGAGTCAAGGAGAGTACAAAGTAAGGAAAAGTGATTTGAATATTTTTGGTTGATATTATTCTTGTTACTAACATAAGCATTATTGACTTTTAAAATAATGAATTGTCATAACTTTTGCATTTAATCTAAATGTCCATTTTGTTATTTTTTTTACCTATTCTACATTACAGGGCTCGTAAATGCCAACTAGAAGATGCACATCTGCACGCACAATTTATTAGAGATGTTAGTGATGCAAACATGTGGATTGATGAAAAGGCCAACCACTTAGAGGCAGAACGTCTCAAAGGAGAAGTAACGAGCTTTGAAGATAAAGTAAGAAAGCTGCAGAAACATCAGGCATTCATGGCTGAGCTTCAGGCTCATGAGTGTAGCATCAAGGAGATTACAGAAAAAGGTAAGGAAAAAATTTAATAATGCCCTTATTTAATAATATAGGTGAAGTTGCCTCATCATTATTATATAATAAGCAGTAATATCTGGACATGATACACCATTAAACTTGAACAAGAAATTAAGGAAATTGCCTAGTATTGCAGACAGTGTTTCCTGCTAATTGTACATTAATTATTATTCATTTACAAGTGCTATACAATATCTGTGAATATACAGTATTTACATTCATTGCTTAGAAACCAATATCTGTTTGGCCTGGAGGCAGTTTGAAGCCTCCTATTCTTTATATATGTTACTGTAGTTCATACTGTGTAGTCTCCCTTGTTGAGGCACACAGCTGTAGTGGGCTCCATTATGGCAGTCCCAATAGATGTCCCATGTTTAACTTTGTTGTGGCTTTGATTTTTTATCTTTAGGCGGGTATATTTGATTTATATATTTTTTTAAACTGGGTTATCTGGCATTACCCAAATATGTTTTTGATGAAATATAAGTAACCAGGTTTAACAAATTTTTAGCAGATTGAATCCTAGAGCAAAATTTTAGCACTATGATTGGCTCACCTGTGGTTTGCCTGCCCTGTTGTAAACAAAGTTATGACATAATCCAAGAAAGTTATGATAATCTATGAAATTACCAATACAGATATGCACATCATAACAATTGATGAATTTGTTTTCATTGTTGATGTGGAAGGTTTATCTAATGAATAACAGCTCCATATTCATCTTTTGAGACTCAGACCTGTGGGTTTGAGATGTAACCTAATGATACCTCTTTGGAAAGAAATATTTGACTACTGTTTCCTTTATTAACAGGTGCACTGTTGGTAAATCAACGGCACAAATCCTCGGCACAAGTTAAAGATGAGGTTGATCATTTGGTTGAACGTTGGACACAGCTTGTGCTAGATGCTGAGAATCACTCCCGTGGTCTTGAAGAAGCTCAGGACATTCTTGAGTTCAATACTCAAGTAGAGAAAGTGGATGCTTGGATTAGAGACAAAGTAAGTATATGTTGAAGTAGGTGTAGTGAATATTTTAATCCATTGGTGGGTGAGATTGTGTGTTGTATAGGTTTGTAAATTAAATTATATGTTAATTTTCAATGGAATTTCAGTGTTATACAAGTGGTGTATATAAACTGACAATTTGCACTATGCTAAGATAATTCTCCTTCAGTCCATCCTTCCATCCCATTTGTAAGATGAGATACTTGATAATCATCATCATTATCGGTTTATGGTCATTCCCCATGCTTGCATGGGTTAGCCGTGGCTACCTGTTATCCACTCTTCATGCTGCATGGTATCTTGCATTCTCTATTGTCAGGTTCCTAACTGTCATTTCTTGTAACCTTTTCCCAGGTCATTCTTGGCATAACCCTGGCACTCCTATCCTCCACATTTAGGCTCGTGCACCTCTTGAATCTATTGGTTTCATCCATTCTCTCCACAAATCTGAACCATCTCAGCCTGCCTCTATGCAGAACTTCACCAGTGCTCTCAATCCCCAGCTGCCCTCTTAGCTCTGAATTGGGCCTCCTGTCTTAGTCACATTGCATATCCACCTCACTATTCTCATTTCAGTTTGCTCAAGTCTACTGATGTCGTCCTCTTTAACTGCCCATGTTTCACTGTCATGCAACATCACACTTCTCACTCCAGCCACATATAATTCTTCCTACCAGTCTTCCTTTCACATGGAGGAAAAGTCCTCTTGCTAAAGACAGCAGCTCCCTAAACTTCCTCCTCCAGCCACTTATTACCCTCGTGATACAGGTAGTCCTCTGTTTATGAAGTTGATGTTTCCTCTGTTTGTGAAATTCATGTGTCTTTGCAAGAGCCATGAGAGTGAGTTTTATATTTTGGATACACTGGTTCCTTTGCTGCTGCAACCTTTTGCTCCTCTAGTTTCTTAAGGTCTTGATTGCTAAATTCCTGGGAGTTGGATTGTAGCAACTGATTCACATCTTCAGCCTCTACCTCAAGGTTTAGTTGATTCCCCATTTCAACTACAGCCTCCCTCACATGCTCTGGCTAAAAGCCCTCAAAGTATTACACAAGTTGAGGCCAAAGCTTCCTCCAAACCATTCATGTTAGTTTGTGTCACCTCATCCCATAACTGTAGTGTGTTTTTATACAGCACTAGATATTATAGCTCCTCCAAAAACCTTTATGGTTGGGGAATTATCTTGGTCAGTGACTCAGATTGACTGGGCAAAAGTCTTTGAGATAAAATGCCTTAAAGGTTGTAATTACCCCTGATCCATAGGTTGAAGAATGGAAGTAGTGTTTGGGGGGAGGTGTAACAACACTAAATTCACATTGGAGTCCAAATAACTTAAATAAGAAGGGTTTCCAAGAGGCTTGTCCATCACCAATAACACCTTAAAAGATGGGTGTTCTTGGTGCAATATTTCTTCACTGCTGTCACAAATTAGTTAATCATACGGGTACTCAAATATAGTACCATTAACCCAGGCCTTTGGGGTAGACTTCCAAATCACTGGAAGATAAGGTTTACTTAATAACCTTGAAAGCGCTGGGATTTTCACTTTAACTCACTAGCAGTGGCTTTAACTTAGTTTCCAGCTGGATTACCACCAAACAGTAGGGTTAACCACTCTCCTCAATCATAGCAGCCAATTCACTTGGAAACTACCTGCTGCTTCAGTATCTGCAAAAGCAACTTCCCCACAAACTTTTATATTCTGTAAATTTGCCCTGGCCTTGAATCTTTTAAACCAGCCACACCTAGCCTTGAGCGGTCCAGCATCATTTGATCCACCCAATCTTTGTATCAAATCTGCATGAAGACTCCAGACCATCTGAATTATTTGGAGGCTTAATGGAATACATGTCTAATGTTGGTACTCCTGCACAGCTCTAGTAATTTCTCTTAATTATTGTAGCTCTTTTACCCTTGAAGGTTGAAAATGAATAATTGTGTTGCCCTCCATATTGTTTATTTGTTAAAGCTTTGGGTGTTCTGATCAGTAGTGGTAGATTTAATTGAAGCTTTTTTCTCTTTACAGGAAATGATGGTGCAAGTAGGAGATCTTGGGAAGGACTATGAGCACTGTATGGCTTTGCATCGTAAACTGGATGATGTTGATTCCGACATGCGTGTAGATGATGCTCGCTTTACAAATATCAACAAACTGGCAGACAAAATCATCAAACAGGGATGTAGTGACAGTAGGACTGTTCAACAAAGGAAGACCGACTTAAATCACAAGTGAGTATCAGATATATTACACTGTTTGGATGTATCATGGATGAATGACTTCCCTTTTATTAATCAGGTGATGCTTATAGCAAAAATATCGGCCAATTTGGCCACTCACCATCTCTGCTGACTGAACATAAGTAATGTGAAGCATATTAGTTTGGCATTTATGTAAAAGGAGTATCAGATAAGAGGGAAATCAAGGTTGGCTTAGGTGATAAGAATATATTAAGAGAATAGAGAATGAAAGATTCTTGACAATTTTTAAACTCGGAACTATATTTGAAATTAAATTCAAAAGAAGATGGTAGGAGAGAGGGAAGGACCAAGGTGGTAGGATTGTTTGAAGAAGGTACTGATTAGTGAGAGGATGGTCATCCAAGAACTACCAGTGTGTTTGTGCATTATTGGAGACCCATTGTGTCAAATGCTTCATGGGAATGGACATAGTACTGACGATTGATGTTATGTTGTATGGAGCTACAGGGCTAAACCATAAGTAAGTCAGAGCTGTGTTGAAGAAGAGGAACACCATAACAGAATAATGGACGAGTTGACAGTCAGAATTTTTTCGTAAGATGGCAGGTCAATGGGTAAAGAAAACGCTTAAATTCACTATGTAAGGATATTTTTAAATAAATTGGGCCAAAAAGTTTCGAATAAGGGTTAAAGATGCTAAAAAGTCGCGTGACTGTGAAAAGCTCTGCAATTGGTTGTGACTTCACTGGTTGGGGCGAGCTTCCCAGCGGGAGGCAGCCAGCTGTAGTTGTCCAGCCTTCTCGGCTGATCGGCTCTGTAAATAAATATTATTAGGTAATTAATTGTGCTATAATATGCAACATAGTAATGCTATATTGAATATATAAATACTACTGAGCACATAAACTAATTCAATGGATATTAGCTGCCCATACAACAGATTTCGTAGTTTAAACATTCCAAACAATATTGGTATTCTGGTTTTGGTCATCTGGGGAACCTTAAGATTCTAACTATGGGATTAAGTACTAAACAATAAGACACATTATCTCTACAGGATATCTGTTGCAAAACATTTTACGATCGCATCAGAAAATACAGATCATAGGTTAGGTTAGGTTAGGGTAGGTTAGGGTATGATGAGTTATAAGGTTAGCTTAACATACATCGGTAAAAGGGGGTAGTAACTCAAAACTATTGATTTTCGATAGAAATGAAGGTCTAAATCGTTCATAACACATCGCAAACCATCAGAAAAAAAAGTCTGCATGTCTAAGTGCAAGGTTGACCAAAACTCAACATTTACCCAATATAGCCAATCTCGAATCTAAACATCCAAATACTTAAGGTGGTTAAAGTAAAATGTTACCCGTTAATTAATATAAATGATGATATATCCCAGTGGTTCATGAGTGAATCATCAAAACAATAACAGCACTTTGTTGGCATGTTTACCTCACACCAGGCATTCTCAAAACAAAGTCCAGACAATGTCATTACAGGTTGTACACCTCTAGTCCGGCATTCTGTGGTCCGGAAACTCCCGTGGTCCGGAATGATTTTAGTTTGCCCATGGAGAAAATTAATTTGAGTCTGGTACTTTCGATGTTTGGCGAATTACTACCTGTAATAAAGCAACATCCTAAGAAACCAACGAAAATAACACAGATAAAGTTAAATAAAAATTAAAAACAACACAGAAAAAGTTTTTATGTTCTAAAGCTTCAGCTGGAGTTGAACCTGATGACTTGGCAACTTCGTCATCCGAGTAAAAACACACACACACAACAACATTGGCTGACCTTATGTTTTCAACTTTTTCACCACTGGAGGGTAGAATTTTTGTTTTAAATTCAGAAACATTAATTAAAATATACATGAACAGTGAATAAGTGTTCCATTTATTAACATTAAATAACATTACTTAAAACAACCATATAAATTTTTGTACATTAATTTTACTACAGCTACAACCAGGTTCTTATTTTTTTCAGTTTTATATATAGAATCAATCAGTCACTGGTTTTGTAAACATTAAAGAAAACGATGCCGTCTCGTCTCCTCGTGTGTTTTAATATTCCACGTACAGTGGGGTATGCTATAACGAACGTAATTGGTTCCAGAACCTCGTTCGTTATAGCATTCGTTCGTTATAGGATTAATCCGTTCCAGGCCCCCAAATACAACCACTTAACACTGAAAAAATTCTGTGGAAAATGTAAAAAATACGGTACTTTATCTTGCCTTAGTGTTATTCAGCATGCAGGTACCCCTAAACACTGGCACATCACTATCACTTCCACTGGGAGTCTTGGCTTTAAGGTCCTCAAACAATTGTTTAGCCTTCTCACAAATTATAGCTTCACTAATGTTACCACCTGCCATTTCTTTCTCCTTTATCCACACTAAGAGTAAATTTTCCATCTCTTCAATCACATTACACTTTGCTTTGCTAAGTCTAAAGATTCCCTTAGCCACTTGCACAGTTTTTAACTCCTCTTTATTCTTCAAAATCGTACATATAGTCGATTTAGCCATCCCATATTCATCACTAAGTTTCGCAATGCTTCTTCCATTCTCACGTTTCTTTACAATTTCTTTCTTAGTTTCAAGGGTTATTAGCTTTCTCACTCGCTTTGGACGACTCATTGTTACAATTGTATACTTGTATAACAAAATAGTTATACAAATAACGCGAATTTCCACATCAAAAGACGAAATTTCAACAATAACAGTGGTGCACTGGCTACACAATGAGACAAAGATGGCGCCTGACGCTCTTGTTGTGGGTCGCGGTACAACAATATTCATGCGCCAGGCGAAATAGTCACGTATTCATCCGCGTTCTTTGTAGGAGTTGCGTTCGTTATAGCATTCTCAATTTTATAGGTAAAACCGTTCGTTATAGGAATATTCGTAGTAGGATCCGTTCGTTATAGCATACCCCACTGTATTATTAATGAATTGTATTGTTCATTTTGCACACATAAACATTAATTCAATCAAAAAGACATTCAGTAATAAACAATAATGAATCTTTTGTACATAAGAGAAATGACACTGTTTACACGATTGTGCACATCTGAACGTTGGCGGGCCGCTCAAACCCGTCGAAATTCGAGTTTCCGCCCTCAACATTTTAAATTGTGTAGTGTTCTTTTTTTTTTGTGTTCAAATAAAAAATGTCGAATTAAAAACACTTGAAATTTGAGAACCTACTGTACAACATTTAACCCTTATATATGTCTTCAAAGAGACCACGAAGCAGTGAAAGTGGTGCTAGTACTTCCAAGCGTAAGCACAAGTCTTTTAGCCTTCGAGGAACACTGTCAGCAAGGTTTTGCAAGAGGTCAGGTGGCAAGTTAGCCCAGGTATCCTTGATGGCTGCCTCTAGGTTCGGGATTGATGATGTGTCAGCATCTTGCAGACGACGCTTAACAATGGACCACAAATTTTCTATTGGGTTAAGATCTGGGCTACTGCCAGGCCAGTCATTAAAGAAAGGTACCTCACAGTCTTTGAGCCACTGTATGACACTTTTAGCAGTGTGCCATGGGGCACCGTCCTGCATGAAAAGGCTTGCCTTAGCTTTATCAAATGATTCAGGTTAGAAATCACTGAGCAGTTCAAGATAGTTGTACTGATTCATCATCTGGTTCTTAGGGAGGATTACTAATTCACCAACACCATAATACGTAAAGGAAGCCCAAACCATGAGCGAGGCTGGGTGCTTAACAGTCTTTCAGCGTACTGTGGGAGGTGCGCGTCTGAGTGGGGCGAGCGGTAAACCCTCCCACCACTACTCCCAGTCACAGAAAACGTAGCCTCGTCGGACCACAATACACTTCTCCATGTCTCTAAATCCCACACTTCATATTTCTTGCAAAATTTCACTCTATTTTCCTTTTGTCTCTTTGTCAGCAGAGGTTTACTGCGGGCACGAAAGGTCTTAAATCCCAGGTCATCGTGCAGGGCTTGTTGAACACAGCGTAACGAGATGTGACTCAAAAGATGGGGGTTTCTCTCTTTCACTTCACGTGCTGTGAGTGAGGGATTGGACCAAACTTGTCGAGAAATAACCTTAGGTGTCCATGGAGACAATAATTTAGGCCTACCAGACTTCGGTAATGGAGCTGGTAACTCGTCCTCTCCAAGGTCACGGAAACGTTTGACAAGATTTTGAACACGGAATGCTCACTTTCCGCGGTGTGTGTACCCTTTTACGCGGAGAGCGGCGCGAGCAGGGTGCGCACAAGGTTGCCCAGTCATCAAAACATTACCGAGTTCTTCACCCACCACAGTCGGCCCAAGTCAGTGATGGTGATAATGATAGTGAGGATATGGACTTGTATGGACTTTGAGGGGTTTGACAAAGAGGACCTGCAAGCCTCTGTGGTGGATAGTGATACAGGTGAGGGCCAATAATCTGCCCTCTGCCTCAGAACCAACCCCCCATCCCTGTGTGCCCAGCCATCTTTTCTACTAATGTAAGTGTTAAAAAACCTAATATTATTGATATTTCTCTTAATTATTAATTGTGTGTGTATACCATCATAAAATTAAGAAGTTATTTTTACTACAACGTAGGTATTGTGTCTGAAAAAGTGGAGTTTGGGGGGTCGGCCCGGTCTCTATTTCAATTAATCCCATGTTATGTTGTTCACTTTACACGTTTCTCACTTTACGCGGGCTGCCATGGGTTCAATTGACCGCGTAAAGTGAGGGTTCATATATATATATATATATATATATATATATATATATATATATATATATATATATATATATATATATATATATATATATATATATATATATATATATATATATATATATATATATATATATATATATATATATATATATATATATATATATATATATATATATATATATATATATATATATATATATATATATATATATATATATATATATATATATATATATATATATATATATATATATATATATATATATATATATATATATATATATACATACACACACACAGTCAACCCTCACTTTACGCGGTCCCACATTCCGCGTTTCCACGTTTACGCGGTGCCCTGCCAGAACCCAGGATGCTCACATTCCGCGGTGGGTGTACCCCTTTTCACGGTGAAGTATAATTTTTTTATTTAGCTCATAAAATTCATACAAATTATCCGGCCAGAATATAATTTACATTGCTGGAATTCTTACAATTTGATGATCATTTTTAATATAAACATCATAGATTTTGCATTAGATATACAAATTTTAGATATAATGTTTACTCTTGAGTAAACATGTTATCTTTTGTGCAAAATATATGATATTTATATTCAAAATATTCCTGGTCTTACAAGGAATCCAGCAGTCAATTATATTATCCTAACTTTAGTCTGATTTATTATTTATTACTAAAAAGGTAAACAGTCTGGTATTCCCACACATTTATCTAGTAGGGACGTTGGTGGGGGGTGGGGGGGAGGGAGGGAGGGACTGGCGACCGACCATCTGTTACCCTGTGAAGAATATTTTTTTTTTATTAACTGAAGATTTTTATTTTAGCTCATAAAATTCATACAAATTACCCGGCCAGAATATAATTTACATTGCTGGAATTCTTACAATTTGATGATCATTTTGAATATACACATCATATATTTTGCATTAGACATAAAATTTTTAGATAAAATGTTCACTCTGAGTATGTTATCTTTTGTGCAAAATATATGACGTTTATTCAAAATATTCCTGGTCTTACAAGGAATCCAGCAATGTCAATTATATTATCCTAACTTTAATCTGAGGTATTATTTAATACAAAATGTTAAAATTTATTTTTTTCACCCACTCTTCTCTTGAAGGGAGGATTGGTGGGGGGTGGGGGGGGAGGGTTGGGACTGACCGCGCGGTTGGAAGAG